GTACAAAATGACTGAGAACAGACTACGCGGTTCCTAGCTAGCTACCATTTCTGTCACGACAGCAATTGCCGATATTCGTTGGGCTATGACTATGTTTTATTAGTGCCTATAGCAAGCCTGTTGGCATTAACAAGTACTTTAGGTACAAAATTTAGCGAGAAGGAAATTGCATCTATATAAATATGCATTTATATTTGCATATTTTAGCGGTTCTTCCCCGCCCAGCTGGTTTTTGGCCCCTCACCAAACGATTTCGAGGCTTGGACGTTAGTGGGAACGGTAATCATGCCTTTGTGCAAGGGATCGATTTCAATGCTGGTAAGTGAATCACAGACTTGAAGAAAAGCGATGTGTTATCATATTAAGGGATCATAAAAAGTTATCATTCAATTGAGTATGTAAAATATCAGAAAAGGCTGGGCTCAATTTGTAGGCGCAGTGTCTTCCTTTATTGAGTAAAAGCTTGGCTGAAATCTTCTTTTGGCTTTTTGGTAATGTACACTCTGGTGGAACCAGGATTTTGTTCACGGAGGGGGGAGGGGGAGAAAAAAAAGAAATGCCACACTAACCAAGGCAAATATAAAACAGTAGCCTAAAACAATTTAAACCAATTCAAACATGTACCTCACAGAAAAACACGCTTAACATAATGTATCAGTTTCACTTTATGCCATCCATTTAGGTATTTATGGTATTGGCGAAGGCTCGGCCAAATTTGCAGGTGCAGTGTCTTCCTTCATCGAAATCCCCAAAAATGGAGCAATAAACGTCAGTTCCTTCACGTGGGTGGCTTACGTGCACCTACAAGACATGTCGAATCAGGGACCACTCTTCAACTTTCGCCGTACAGCGGATGATTACGATTATGGCACCCATATATGGACTACTGGGAGTGGAGCATTTTTTCTTCGTCCTGTGATAAAGGAACCCTATACTTTAGCACAGTTCTACTCCCTTTCTGTACTAACTGATACTGCCTGGGTCTATGCTGGTTTTACCTACAATTTCCAGACCGGTATGGTTGGGTTGTGGGTGGACGGAGTCGAGGTGGGTCAGCTTCAGCACACTCCTCAACTGAATCTTATCACCAATACACCTGTGCGTATGGGAGCCAGACACAGCTCCACGGCAGATTCAAGATATTTCTCTGGTGCCATGAAGTGTGTCCAATGGTACGGAACCGTTCTATCTGCAGAACAGATCCAGAAGACCGTAAAACTATGCAGAGAGCCTGGTGAGTATGGTAATGGTATGATTATTTCACATCTTTGTATACATCTTTACAAATATAATTTACGTGCTCCGATACTGCCGTTTGAATTGGGATTCGAACATGTCCCTAAATATTATTTTAGACGAAAAGATGTGTCTTTCAGTACATGGCGCATGGTGTACGACCCATAGGCTGCACTATAATGATAATAATATAACAAATCATGCATCTTCTTTATACTATTTATTTACTTGTTCCATAGTATTCCCCAATGACATAAAGGTTTACAGTGCATACATTCAATGTGATACAAGGAAGCCCTTGACGTCCATTTCAGTATATGGTGCACAGCTAAAGGTTCACCAAGGTTACACTATGGGTATTGACGCTTCCCTTACATACAGGTCCGAGCATGACGTCCTCTCTCTCATAGAATGTGCCGCCCTTTGTTCCCGAGACCACAGTTGTCTATCAGTGAATTATGTGGAGACCACGACAACCTGTGAGCTCAGCAAATACTCCACCGTCTACAACAGCAGCCTAGAGCTTACCCGACGTTCAGACCGCGAGGTGTACGCCGAATTATTGTATCCTGGAAAGAAATTTTTCCATTAAGCTCACCGACGAATTTAAGATGGGTCGATGCGTCTCTCTTTTCCTGTATTTAATCGAGTAATACGATGGACTCACATGTCTCTTGTATTGGAATAGGTTTACCATCTTCCTGCAATAGTCCAATGTAAGTTACATTTTGTCTTTGTTTGAACTGGTTAAAATCGAAGGTGTTGTATATAAGACAAAGTCCATGTACTTCATCTTAAACTGAATGGTGTATTGATATCGCATAACGCCAGGAATCATTATACACCACTGAAATGAATAAGTAGCCCATTTCCGTCAATTGACCAACACGAATGGAGACCGGGTAATATAACCAAGTAATCGACATGTGCAGTGGGTTTCTGTCCACTTGCTAAAGAACCGAATACCTTAACAGAATTCCATGTCGATATTGCAACAAATCATAAGTAAAGTTTTTCAGCTAAATTATATCTTTCTTTCGTTCCCGGGTTAAGTTTTCGTTTTAACGAGGGTTTCAATGCACACAACGTTTTTTTGAATAAATACACGCAAAATTATAATGTCAAATGCAACGTGCTTATCCATATCGCACATCTGGTTCACAGATTGTCTTCAAAATAAACATTGGAATATGTTTTTTGTAATGCTATTTAAATATTTGTTTTTTATTTGCTTATAGAAGAGATGTTTAATAATTGAGAGAATTCTCTCGACGTGCCATTATTATGGAACTATAGTCATTGTTATGGAACTTCATGTACTGATTTACTTGACACATCAACTTGAACACGAGAACAAAGCTGTCGATGAAAAACATCTACGCAATAGATCTAGTAAATACACATAGTGGAATCTAAAGCAATGGACCAGGCCGAACGAAATTATTGTGTTTCTTGAAGGAAATTATTGAAGATCTTTAAAGTGGCGCATTTTTTCTTCCTTACTTTTTTATTCATTCAAATCTAAACCTCCGCAATTTCGGAATCATGCCTTGAATGTTATGCAAAATGGTTACTTATTTAAACATTTGCTCAGTAAAAATACATGAATTTATGTAAAGAACATGTTAAATGATTGGAGATAAACACGAAAAGTAATGGGCACCAACAAAATATGACCACCCTGAAAAATACTGCAAGAACACTAGTATGTTCTTGAATGAAGGCCAGAACTTTTCGCTCATTCAATGAAACCTTTGCGTTTGCGCTTCCCCTACTTTGGTTTAGGTACTGGGCGCCAGATCATTTACAACATCGAAATTTGAGGTCGATTGCAAAAGAAAAAATTAAACCTCACATGCAGTGTGCTTTTCACAGATTGCCTTCAAAACAAACCTACTGGCCGTACGGCCTTCACTGCCGGATCCGGCACTTCTTGGTCCCAGAGTTTTAAGTGACACGTGCGACGACGGGAAACAATATATGTTTGCCTTATTCTTTGTACTAGCAGACGGAAGGAAAAAAAAACGTGACAAATTTAGATTGCATGAATATTTGATAGTTACTTTGAATGATGACATTGTTTTCCTTTTTCTTTGGATAAAAACGATCTTTTCAAGCCTACAACACTTTGGTCGGTCTTTTTGTCAGCCTGTCGGGGTATGCAGTATTGACGACAAGCAAATCCGAAAGTCAGAAAACTTAACATTTTATATTTCATGCTTTTTTCTAAAACAACTACACGCGTCCAAGGGCACGAGATGTTTTTATTACTTCCCTGGTCATCCATGGTATTCGTACTTGCCGAAATTGCGTTTGGCGATACAAGCTGTGAGTATAGTCCCCTTGTGTGTTCATTTTCTAATTTGTAATAATGTGCTGTAATTTGATGGCAGAGATTAACATCGCATCAGCCGCTGCCAATTAAATCTGAACTGATGGTTTTGAATTGAGCGAATATAATTAGTACTGAGTATTGGTTTTGGGCTGCTGTCGTAATGAAGACGAAGACTGATAAAATTAACACTTTCCGGTCTAAAAAAAGTTTTTAAAAGAAAGAGTTTGAAATGGATCTATAAATTGTCATTTTCTCAATTGAATTGGACAGGATATGTTATAGTAATAGTTTATATTATGTCTATATTTCTAGCATTTTTTTTACTTTTTGCTATACAATGATATAACGCGGATTTTACGATTCCTTTTAAACCTGGTGTCAAAAACAGAATATTGCGGTGGGCCCAAGGAGAAGTAAAACAAATTAACTTGTATAGCTTTAAAGATGCTTCAATTTCCTGACCCCCCATCCCCCACCCCCACTCAAAATTTAATCATGGAATGGAAGTCCGGGATCCCATATGATAAGTACAGTTTAGGCTTTATCGGAGCATTGGGGTTAAAACTATATATGGGGCGAATGTCACCTGTACAAAATAATGGAGTACAGACTACTGTTCCTAGCTAACTACACGTACCATTCATGTCACACCGGCAATTGCCGATATTCGCCGGTTGTGACTTTTCCACTTTTATAATTATACCCCTATTATTCTCTGTTACGAACTTTGCATGTTTTACTAGCGTCTACAGTAAGGGTGTCAACATTAAGAAGTGCTTTAGGAATAAACCTTGCATCCTCCATTATCTACATATGGTATTTGCATATTTAGCGGATCTTCCCCGCCCAGCTGGCTTTTGGCCGCTCACCAAACGATACGGAGGCTTGGACGTCAGTGGAAACGGTAACCATGCCATTGTTCAAGGGGTCGATTTTAATGCAGATAAATTAATCACAGGCTTGAAGAAAAGCGATATGGTATCAGATTAAAGGATGATAAAACTTATCATTTAATTGAGTTTTTATAATATCATGGAAGGCTGGGCTCAATTTGTAGGCACAGCTATTTCCTTTATTCAAGAAAATCTTGGCTGAAATCTACTTGTGGCTCTTTGGTAATGTACACTCTCCTGAAAAACCAGGATTTTTCTAACGGGGGAGGGGGGTCAAAGCAAAAGAGAATTGCCACACGAACCGAGGCAAATATCAAGCAGTTGCCTAGAACATTTTATCGCAATTCATAATTCACAAAAACACGCTTTACATAGTTTACCATTTTCACTTTATGCTATCCATTTAGGTATTTATGGAATCGGCGAAGGCTCAGCTAAATTTGCGGGGACAGTTTCTTCATACATCATAAATCCCAAACAATGGAGCATTGAACGTCAGTTCCTTTACTTGGCTAGCTTACGTGCACTTGAAAGACATGTCGAATCAGGGACCACTCTTTAATTTTCGCCGTAGTGAGAACAATTATGAATACGGGACTCACATATGGGCTATTGTGAGTGGATCATTGTACCTTCGTCCTTTGATAAAGGAACCATATGGTGAAGCACAGTCCTACTACCTCCCTGTACTTTCCAATACTGCCTGGGTCTACGCTGGCTTTACGTACGATTTCCAGACTGGGATGGTTAAGTTGTGGGTGAACGGGGTCGAGGCAGGTCAGCTTCAGAATACCCCTCAGCTGAATCTTATCACCGATACCCCTGTGCGTATGGGAGCCAGACACAGCTCCGCAGCAGATACGAGATATTTTTCTGGTGCCATTAAGTGTGTCCAATGGTACGGAACTGTTTTATCTGCAGAACAGATCCAGCAGACCGTAGAACTGTGCAGAGAGCCTAGTAAGTATGATAATGATGATTATATAACAAATCATGAATCTTCTTTATACTAATTATTTACTTGTTCCATAGTATTTCCAAATGATATGATAAGTTTGCACTGCATAAATTCAATCCAATACAAAGAATCCCTTGATGCCCATTTCAGTTTATGGTGCACAGCTTAAGGTTCACCAAGGCTACGTTATGGGTATTGACGCATCCCTTACATACAGGACCGAGCATGACGTCCACTCCCTCACAGAATGTGCCGCCCTCTGTTGCCGAGACTGCAGCTGTCTATCAGTGAATTTTTTGGAGACTACGGCAACCTGTGAGCTCAGCAAGTACTCCAACGTCTACAACAGCAGCCTAGAGCTTACCCGACGTTCAGACCGCGAGGTGTACGCCGAACTGTTGCATCCTGGAAATAAATTGTACCACTAAGCTCACCGACGAATTTAAGATGGATCGATACGTTGAAATGGCCTTAATTGGTCAAAGCTTTTTTCTCTTATCCGTTGTGTTCAAGACTTATCTAAATATTTAGTGCAATAAAATTCAACACTTTTGGCTAAAATTACCCTTTTCGCTTTTTACCATCTCACGCGCTGTTCAGAAAATGCTATTATATTGCACTATAAGTATTATAAGTAATAGAAAAGAAAAACGCCTTTTTTAATATGAAGGTAATTTTTTACTTATCGATCTACCTTGAGTTTTATACCAGGCTAACATCGGGTGATTTATCCAACTGACATTTTACAAGTTATATTGACTGATTCAATTGGCCCTACAACACTTAGCCACACTTTGGCACCATTAGAATATATCGAGTTACTGTCAAAGCAATTTTACTGTAACTCTTGGCTTGTATATTGTGTCAACGGAAAATGAGACATTGGGTAACAGATTATTACAGACTTGACACGGATTTGTTCATCCTAAAGTAATGATTATGTTCTTATTGTCTATGTTGTCTCTGCTACCGCAATGTGCGTTCTTATCTTGTCTTGATTTGCCTTTGAAATCCTGTTTTGATGTTATATATGTATAGGTCATGGATTGAGTTGAATTTGTTGACTTAACCATAAAGCATTTGTTGTCTTATCTCACATAAATCGATGTCAGACTTTAACCGGACATTTTTGTTCATACTTTTGGCTGAGGCCAGACATTGTAACCGGAAATGTGTCATCTGTATTCGCCATGAATTACTTTGCTTAAAGAGGCAAATGTGTAGTTCTTAACATAGCAATCTCCCGTTTGCCACCTGATCTGTTCCTCTGTTTAATTGAGTAACACTCGCTGAACTCACCTTTTGTCTCTTAATATTCGAGTGGGTACATGTATACCAACTTTCCCGCAATAGACCAATGTAATTTACCCCTATACATTTTGTTTTAGTTTGAACTGATTAAAAGCGTACGTGTTGCCAGTAAAACAAAGTCCATGTACTTCATCGCAAACTGAATGGTGTATTGATATCACGTTTCGGCACCAATCATTACACACCACCGAAATGAATAAGTAGCCCATTTCCGTCAATTGGCAAACACGAATGAAACCAGGTAATATAAGCAAGTTATCGACAAAATGTGCAACGGGTTTCTGTCCGCTTGCAATAGAACTGAATGCCTCAATGAAGTCCATGTCGATATCGCAACGAAATCGTTACCGAAGCTTTTAAGCTTAATTAAAATATTCTCTCTCTCCTGAAGTTAATCTCTGTGATGACAAAGGTTTGAATGCACATGAGGTTTTAATGTGGATAGACATTAATGTAGTCAACGGACTCTTTTGACAGTCCTAAAAGCACATGTAATAATTACTTAACGTACGTATTAACATCAGTCAGACACATGTAACCGGTTGTGCGGACGCAAATTAAAAGACGCTTTGGAGGATTTAACATGTCTTTAAAACCCTACCTAAATTACAATGGTCAGAATCTGAACGGTCCGTTGACAAAGCCTGCTTTATAAAAGTTGTGCAACGGGTTTCTATGCGGGTGGACTTCAAATTAGATCTACATTGAATAATGTCAAGGAAACGTTGCGAGAATCAAAAAGGACTGGACCACGATATGCTGTTTCTGATGACGATAGCATTTGCAGTTGTTGGGGAAACCGATGGAAAGGGTGAGTATAATTAAGTAATACTGGTATATCCATGAATGGATTTTACTGAAGTTGGGCCTCTTCAAATAAGATATGAAAATCCGCCTTTTGTTCGTATTTGGGGGATTATTTGAAAATTACCGTCAGCGATTTTTAGTTAAAACACCCACCGGCCACCAAAAGTGTCAATTCATTGTATGGATTCTACACGCTTTGGGGTTTTAACTTGTTTTCATGCAGTTCCAAAAAGGTATGTTTCAAACTTCTAAAACCAATAATGTTGCCCGGTAAAATATAAACTATTTATTGAACAAAAATACGCAAGGAATGCAATTGACCAGCCCTCAGAACGGACCTAGCTACAGAGAAACAGTGGTCTCAAAACGTATATTCTGACAACATGTAGTCCGCATAATTATTTTCCTAGCCGGTGTCTATGTGCACTACAAACGGTTGACATAGACCATGGTTTTGAATAGTCGCGTTAAGGCAAGATTCCATCTAATATAACCACGCATCACGTGGATACCAAGTTAATCAATTGTAGATATCATGTTTTGTTTTAATTAATATTAAAATACTAGGTTCTTCTATTTGCAAAATGTAGGAAAAGTTGAACCAATACGATACAATAACCACACGTGATTTGCAATGGCTTCTCTTAAGACAACGTTGATGCCCCGTTGCTTCTTGATATCTAAGATGGCATTTATACCATATTTCAGCTTCGCAGTCTGAAAGTGGCGTGTTTACTGAGTAAGCATCATCAACATTAAAATTTTATCAATATGTGGTGTTTAATCTATTGAACCTGGTATTTGACACGTTTCAGTGGTCCTGCCGCGTCCGGCTGGCTTGTGGCCGCTCACAAAGCGGTATGAGGGTCTGGACGTCAGTGGGAACGGTAACCATGGCATTGCTCAAGGAGTCGATTTCGATTCAGGTAAAATATTCAAGCATTTTTAAAGGATGTTTTCATAAACATTCACATATAATTTATAGTTGTTTAAGTAGAATGCTGCTAACCGGTAACACACCTCTACATACATTATGGCACGTGTTATAGGCCCCTATACAACTTATTTCAAACTAAATATTTATGGCATTGGCCAAGGTTCGGCCAATTTTGCAGGTACAGTGTCTTCCTTCATCGAAATCCCGAACAATGGAGCATTGAACGTCAGTACCTTCACGTGGCTTGCTTATGTGCGCCTACAAAGCATGTCGAATCAGGGACCACTCTTCAACTTTCGCCGTAATGAAAACGATTATAATTACGGGACTCACATATGGGCTGTTGGAAGTGGATCATTTTTCCTTCGTCCAATGATGAAGGAACCCTATACCCTAGGACAGTCCTACTCCCTTCCTGTATTAACCGATACTGCCTGGGTCTATGCTGGTTTTACCTACAATTTCCAGACAGGTATGGTTGGGTTGTGGGTTAATGGAGTCGAGGTGGGTCAGCTTCAGCACACCCCTCAGCTGAATCATATCACCGATACTCCTGTGCGTATGGGAGCCAGACACAACTCAACTGCAGATTCAAGATATTTCTCTGGTGCCATGAAGTGTGTCCAATGGTACGGAACCGTTTTATCTGCAGAACAGATCCAGCAGACCGTAGAACTGTGCAGAGAGCCTAGTAAGTATGATAATGATGATTATATAACAAATCATGCATCTTCTTTAATTTTTTTTTACTTGTCCCATAGTATTTCCAAATGATATGATAAGTTTGCACTGCATAAATTCAATCCAATACAAAGAATCCCTTGATGCCCATTTCAGTATATGGTGCACAGCTTAAGGTTCACCAAGGCTACGTTATGGGTACTGTCGCATCCCTTACATACAGGTCCGAGCATGACGTCCATTCTCTCACAGAATGTGCCGCCCTCTGTTGCCGAGACTTCAGCTGTCTATCCGTGAATTATTTGGAGACTACGGCAACCTGTGAGCTCAGCAAGTACTCCAACGTCTACAACAGCAGCCTAGAGCTTACTCGACGTTCAGACCGCGAGGTGTACGCCGAATTATTGTATCCTGGAAATAAATTGTTTCATTAAGCTCACCGACGAATTTAGATGGATCGCTACGTTTAAATTGCCTTAATTGGTCAAAATAGCTTTTTTGTCGTTTGTGTTGTGTATGAAACTTATCTAGATATTTAGTGCAATAACATTCAACACTTTAAGAGCTAAGATTACCCTTTTCGTTTTTATCATCCCACGCACTTCTCAGAAAGTGATTTATTTTATTGCACAGTGAGAATTTTTAATAAAAGAAATGGAAAAAAGCTTTTTTAAACATGAAGGTAATTTTTTTACTTATCGATTTATCTTGAGTTTTAAACCAGTCTAACATCGGATGATTTATCCAGCTGACTTTTTGCAAGTTTAAAATGAGTTATATTGACTGATTCAATTGGCCCTATAACACTTAGTCACACTTTGGCACCATTGAAATATATCAAGTTACTGTCAAAACATTTTTACTGTAACTCTTTGGTTTGTATATTGTGTCAACGAAAAATGAGACATTTCACCATGGGCTACATATTATTACAGATTTGACACGGATTTGTTAATCCTAAAAGTAACGATTATGTTCTTTATGGCGTTCCTAAATTTGTGAGTCGACTTACATCTGGTTTAGAACACTTTACATGTGACCATTATGTGCTGGCCATTCTAAACATTGTGCTTGTGTTGCGGAGTGTTAATTGTTTTTCTTGTCTCCGTTACCGCAATGTGCGTTGTTACCTTGTCTTGATTTGCCTTTGAAATCCTGTTTTGATGTTATATATGTATAGGCCATGGAAAGAGTTGAATTTGAAGACTTAATCATAAAGCATTCGTTGTCTTATCTCACATAAATCGATGGCAGAATTTAACCGGACATTTTTGTTCATACTTTCGGCCGCGGCCAGACATTGTATCCGGAAATGTGTCATCAGTATTCGCCATGATTAACTGCTTGCAGAAGCAAATGTGTAGTTCTTAACATAGAAATCTCCTGTTTGCCACCTGATCTGTTCCCCTGTTTAATCGAGTAACACTCGCTGAACTCACTTTTTGTCTCTTAATATTCGAGTGGGTATATGTATACCAACTTTCCTGCAATAGACCAATGTAATTTACACCTATACATTTTGTTTTAGTTTGAACTGATTTAAAGCGTACGTGTTGTCAGTAAAACAAAGTTCAAGTACTTCATCGTAAACTGAATGGTGTATTGATATCACTTGTCGGCACCAATCATTATGCACCACTGAAATGAATAAGTAGCTCATTTCCGTTAATTGGCCAACACGAATGGAGACCA